GCACCAATACTTCCCATATTCAGAGAAGCCATACTTAACGGTAATCCAGAGCAGAAAGAACAAGCGGCTCATGGGTTGAGTGAAGTGATTGAACTGACGAGTGCCGAGGCATTAAAGCCATCGGTGGTGAACATAGCGGGCCCTTTGATCCGCATTTTGGGCGATCGGTTCACGTGGAACGTAAAAGTGGCCGTTTTGGACACATTGTCTTTGCTTCTGAGTAAAGTGGGCGCACTTTTGCGACCATTTATACCACAATTACAGCAGACATTTATCAAAGCGCTTAACGATGGCCACAGAAGTGTCCGCTTGAGAGCGGCCAACGCTTTGAGTCAATTGATTACAGTTCACAATCGATGTGATCCAGTATTCACCGAATTACACAATGCCATCAAAAGCAGTGCCAATAGTGACGACTGGGCACTCCGGGACACAATGCTTCACGCGTTACGACTTTCTATAACACCCGCCGGCGATAAGATGTCTGATTCAGTGCGCCGTCAGCTGACGGCTACTATAGTATCGCTGTTGGGATTACCGGATGACTCGTGTCGGTCCACTGCCGGCGCCTGTTTAGGGGTGTTGTGTGCGTGGCTTCCAAACGATGAGCTCAACTCTATAGCTAAAGACCACTTACTGGACGACGATTTGACGGTTGACTGGACTCTACGTCACGGGAGATCAGTTGCGCTCCGCATCTCTTTGAAAGAGGCGTCCAATCGATTGATTAAAGAGGAATGGGTTGACAGGATTTGCAAAACTCTCATCGCGTTTATCAACTCAGATAGAGTTCAGATTGTGATCAATGGCATCAAAGGGTCCGCATATCTCATCAAACAATATTTGGTCAAATCCCAAATTCCTCCGCAAATACTTCTCACAGCCTTCGCAAGGGTTTGCTTTTGTTGTCATTTCTAAACACTTTTATTGAATTATATTTTTATATACAATAAGGGATTGAATCACACGAGCAATGAAGTGAAGCAAACGGTCGCCATTTCGACCACATTTATCGCTAAATCGAGTGACGGATCGTTTCCATCGGTTCTCTTCAAGACATTAGTACCACTTCTGGTGAACGGAACGAAAGAGAAGAATTCAATGGTTAGAGTAAACTCAGAACACGCTTTAGTGGCGTTCCTCAAACTCAGATCCGGTGATGAAGTATTGAACGCGTGTTTATCGGCTCTGGATTCGGGTGCTGTTGAGTCACTACAAGACTGTATAAATAAGACGCTAAAGAAGATCGCAGCGCAACAACACGAACCTAAGGAAGAGGAGTTCGACGACTCCTTACTTATATAAGCCTTTAATCTATTAAATGATTTATTAATAAAATAATTATTTAAATAAAACTTTTGTTAAAGCGATTAAAAATTAAAAGAATTAATTTTAACAATAATTTAAGTGTTTAAATGAAATGTCGTTCCTCTCGAGTGGTTGTAAGACTTTTCAAAGAAAAAGTCGGGTATTATGCCGTCCGGCGCCATATCTCTATGATTCGCATTTCTACTCAACTTTCTCTTCATGTCTGCGACAGTCATCTCAAGTTTCACTAAAGACTGACGTTTAGTCTCTTTTGAAAACGGTCGCCATTTCGACCACATTTATCGCTAAATCGAGTGACGGATCGTTTCCATCGGTTCTCTTCAAGACATTAGTACCACTTCTGGTGAACGGAACGAAAGAGAAGAATTCAATGGTTAGAGTGAATTCAGAACACGCTTTAGTGGCGTTCCTCAAACTCAGATCCGGTGACGAAGTATTGAACGCGTGTTTATCGGCTCTGGATTCGGGTGCTGTTGAGTCACTACAAGACTGTATAAATAAGACGCTAAAGAAGATCGCAGCCCAACAACACGAACCCAAGGAAGAGGAGTTCGACGACTCCTTACTTATATAAGCCTTTAATCTATTAAATGATTTATTATTAAAATAATTATTTAAATAAAACTTTTGTTAAAGCGATTAAAAATTAAAAGAATTAATTTTAACAATAATTCAAGTGTTTAAATGAAATGTCGTTCCTCTCGAGTGGTTGTAAGACTTTTCGAAGAAAAAGTCGGGTATTATGCCGTCCGGCGCCATATCTCTATGATTCGCATTTCTACTCAACTTTCTCTTCATGTCTGCGACAGTCATCTCAAGTTTCACTAAAGACTGACGTTTAGTCTCTTTTGTGGTGACATTTTCAATGCGTTTCATATAGTCATTAGATATGAAATCAATTATTTTGACAAATTGTTTGCCGTAATAACGATATAATTTATGCGAACAAATGCCAAGAAATGAATCTAAAACGGCTGCAGTGATGGCCGGCCGGGGCTTCAAGTTTAAAGTCCTTGCGATCCAAATCCAGGCAAACATTAAGCCGTGCGGATGATTGTCGTCAACATTGGACTGAATGACAGCCGAATACAGTTTAATCATTGCTCGCATTCTATTGAGAAAAGCGTCCTCTGGTTCTAGAGTTCCGTCTTTGGCTATCGTATAGCCACAAGCAATCATATATTTGCTCTCATTGTCCGCATTGTCTTCGGTGTCACGTTTTGGGTAATAGGGCACCAGATATGGACACTTATCATGCATTTGGGCCATAAATATCTTTCCAAATGTGGGAAACCGTTGCCATAAAAGTACAACAATTGGAGCCATTGTTAGTGCGATGTCTTTCTGTTTAGTGCAGACACTCTTTGCAAACAAATAACTATTAATACGGATCTTATGGTTAAACGTTGAATAAGACTTACGACAAACATTTTAGAGGTCAGACTAATGCAGAAATTAAGAGAGCCGTCGTTTGCACAACATTTCATTTGTTTTGCTCCGTATTCGACGTTCTTCTCACTCAATAATTGTGTCAAACGATTCAATTTGTCTCTAATGTGTTCAACCGATTCACACGATATCGTATTGATAGTCGTCTTCACAAATAACTGCAAATCATTTCTCTTTTGCTTGAATTTGGTTTCGGAAACAAAACTCTGAAATGAGTTCTCAAAATCATTAGAAAACTTTTGCAAATTTAAATAATCTTTAAACGCCTTATTGTCGACACAATCGGACATCGAGTTTGACTGATTTGAAGGGATGCCTGAAGAGACTGAACAATGAGTTGTTTCAACAAATAAAGGCTGTTCTTCAGTAGCTGTTCCGCTCATTTGTCTTTCATTAGCAGTACTTTGTTTTAATCTCTCGATATCTGCAACTAATCTCTCTTTAATGTTAATGACTTCTGATTTCAGATTCTGAGCGCTATTTATGTCAAAATGAGTCAAATCTTGTTTTGTTAGCAAAATATCAAGACTTTGAAGCCAACCATTCATTTGGTTTAAATCATGTTTAAGAGTGTGAAAGTATTGATCACTTTTGATAACAGATTCCCAATTGTTAGACAAGTGTTCAACACTTTTAACGATTAAATGCATTTCATTCTTAATAATCAACACTTGTTTTTGTCTGAAATGCAATTGTTTTCGTTGTTGTTCTTCGACTAATAACTGGTGTTTGCTTTCAATTTCTTTCATTTTGCAACAACTGGTCAGTGAGTTGTCCTCCAAATGCATCTCATTGTAGGAAATGCTGTCTTTCAGAGCAATTGTTTTCGTTGTTGTTCTTCGACTAATAACTGGTGTTTGCTTTCAATTTCTTTCATTTTGCAACAACTGGTCAGTGAGTTGTCCTCCAAATGCATCTCATTGTAGGAAATGCTGTCTTTCAGTGCTTTGTAATCCTCTTCAAAACCATTGATCCGTTTAATGGCATCCAAAGCATACTTCTGGCGAATGAGTCGATACTCTTCGTCAAACTCTTGGTTACATTTCGTGAACTCTATTTCAAGACTTTTCATCTTTTTATTGAGTTCTTCGCAAACAGATTCCTGTCTTTGTTTCTCATAAACAACTAAATCCAATCCATTCATCACTTCATGGCATCTGTGGGTCGGGTTGTGGTGAGAGCTCTCCTTCACATCATTCACATCACTCTCATTGCACTCATCACTGATTGTATGCTTTGTTGAGCTCTCAATCACCTTATATTTGGGACAACTCTTGCTTTTATTGATGCTCTCATTGGACACACATTTGGGAGATATAGTGATGGCAGAGGTGTTGGTCTTCACTTCATTTATGATCTCCTATTAAATGCATTAATCAATGAGTGGTAAAGAGGAAGACAATCACTCACTTGAGTCCTGCGCTCGTCTTTCCAGTGCCTGTCATAAGTGAGCCGTCCTTTGGATGAGCTCTTGAGCGCTGACAACACGTGTTGACAATCACTGGACACTCGACTCATGTCTAAAGCAATCAATGATTGAATTCAAATCAAACTTCAATTCAAACACAAACACCAGTTTGTGATCACTTGAGACAACGCATGCGTACAACACTTGACCGGTAAATACAGACTGTATTACAGACTGACTTCAATTATAACAGAATCTGTTAAACAGATCTCGATTTGAACACAAGATTTTGTTAATATCAGTCACTCAAACATGTATTAATACTGTAATTTAATTCTACGTTCACGTCGTTAACACAACCCTAGGTCATACTCAAAATTAACCCAGGGTTAAGGTCAAAAAGAAAAACGAGAGGGTTAGTTTGTTGACTCTTAACTCTGACTAGTTACTATTAATAAACTAAATATTTTACACCGTTTTATTTAAATAAGGAAAACATTTAATGTTGATACCTTTTTTAGGATCAGGACACTATCAGTATCAAATGTAAAAACATTTTCAATCTTTTGCTCTTCAGTAATTTTAACATATGTTTTTTATGGCATCAATAATAAGTTTGTCATCGAAGTTAGATTGTAATTTAAAATAAAAAGATAGGTCATTTATAAATAATTAAAGACCCTCAAATAAAATTAAAGTTTAATCAAGATTTAGTCAATTAAAAATGATTTTTTTTGGAACCGCATATACATTTTGCATACTATTTTTGATAAAGAAATTCTGACCGGTGTTGTTGCAGGATATTTGATTAAAATGTTTACAGGAATAGTCGTTTTTGCACATTGTTATATTTTTTGAGTTGGTCACCCTAGTTATCCGAATTTCTAAAAGTAATTCCCCAGCTTTATTTTATACCAACAAATATTGCATGTATGAATTTTGTTTAGTTTTATTTACTGGAAATATAGTAAATATTGCTACATAATGTACGCAAAAAAACAATTAAAATGTCAACGTTTGTTGTTTTATCAATGTTTGCTTTAATTATACACATATAAATTAAGGCACAGAAGTTTGACAATCAATTTGTTTGCTATATTTTATCACAAAAAGTATTAATAAATATCACAAAAAATAATATTATGTCATAATTAATGTCATTTTTAAAGATATTTAACACTAACTGCACAAATATTTTGGAAACTAATAGATTAAAATTAAATACATACTTGTGCAAATTAGTTGATTAATGTTTTTTCTGTGCCATTCTTAAGTTAGGTGCTTTTTATATAGTTTTTTTAAATTGGGAAATCTTAGTATTGATGGAACGGATATTTAGGCTATTTTCACATTTGTGTTAAACTCCCTTCTGCTGACTACAGGGAGGTCTTTATAAAGCGAAAAACGCGATACCATTATATAATTTCCAGCGATTTGTAAAAATTTAAAATTTACAAAATCATCTACTTTAAGATGATCTTTAAGATGAAAATGTACTTTTTGTCTTTAGTTACTATGAATGTAATAACGTATTGATTTTGAAAATTCACCTGGTAGATTTTAATTGAGTGGGCATTTATGCGCTACAACCCTCTCCCAGTGCACTACAACCGGGGGTTTAACAAAAATATGAAATAACCAAAATATCCGTTCCATCAATACTAAGATTACCCAATTAAACAACTACATTGTATATAAAAAGTACCTAGGTTAAGAATGGTAGAGGAAAAACACTAATCAGCTAATCTGTACAAGTATTATACAAATATTAAAACGTTTATTTAACTAATTTTAATCATGGTAAAATTATAACAAGTACTTTACTATAAAATAGAATTATATACTCTAAAGTATAAAATCAACAAAATAACATTAACACAATTATAAACACTAGATCGTTTCAGCGTATCATTAATCGTACAGGTCTATGGCATAAACTATGCCAGTAATTTGAAGCTGGCATTCACTTTATACCAATATTCCTAATGTTTCTAATGTTCGCTTGACTTTACAATTAAAGGTTTGATTAAATTTATTTCAAAATATTCAATAATTAGCAGACAAATGAAGGTTAAGCTCCAAAGTAGAGTCGATTACACAATTAGGGAAATGCCTGTTAAACGTAAAATCATGAAAGATTACGAAATTTGGATTTTCTACAAGTAATTACAAAATATTTATTTCTTTAATAAACAAGACTCACACAGCGATGCTATATGTTAACCATAATTCGGATCATGCTCAAAATTTGCATTATCAATATCCTATGTAAGCCTCCCCATGTTAAAGTATAGCTGTAGACTTACTATAAGCTACATTCTTAATATATGAATTGTAGGTAAAAATGTAAAATCAATATATTTTATGAAATATAATTTTGTCATATAATTGATTTGTCAATCATATGAAGAATAAATACCGTAATTCTAATGTTTATGACCGCAATATACATGACATACACGTATTGTTAAGAATGTTAAAAAGTATTTAAATGTCATTTATTATTATAATAATAAACTAATAATAAATGTAAGAAAGCTATGCATAAAATGCCAAAACACAAGGAATAGTGAAGTATTTAAATGGGAACTTTAAATACCAAAAGGCAATGAATGAGTGGAAAGACGCAAAAAGCATCGAAAATAGATATTGTTTTGATCGACGAATGCTTTTTAAATATACGCTCAATAAATATGAATGAATAATATGGCAAATAATAACACTAAATAAACTGATGGACTGAATATATTTTGAAATGAATTGTGGCCTCAAATGTGGGAATCGGCTATAAATATGTCACAACTAATCTGATTAGACTTTAATGTCTAAAACTTTAAACCAATTCAATTGAATCACATTTGTTGTACTCACTCTTGATTCGCACCCTATCTTAACAAACCATAGACTAGATTGTTGTTAATTCATATCATGTTATAAAGTACTGTATTGTAAGTGAAAATTATCACTTCATTGCACACTTAATACAGTATATGAATTCAATTAACAGTAATGTAAATTGAAGCGAGACTTCAAACTTTCCTCTAATTCCACCAACTTGCATTATTTTTAAATGTACTGTAGATTCCTGTACTGTATTGTAGTCAACGATATATTGTATTTATTTTTAGTTTTTATGTACTATTTTATTAGCATTTTATTTAAAATGTACTGTATAACAAATGAGAAAAGCATTACATTGGTTGCATATTTTATTTTAGTAATGTTAAAAGTAATGTTAG